TATGTATATATGTTTTTGCCACGCTTGGTTTCCGCTAAAACTTTCAGTACTTATTATCAGTTTTTGTTCCAACGTTAGTCGGATAAGACAGTAAACCGTTTTTATTTATCAGTTTAAAAATTTCAACGATTTTCAGAAAAATCAAGTTTTTCACGGTAGCATCCCAAATTAGTTTTCGCAAAAATTAATGTTTTATGTTTTATTAAGGAAAATTGCGAAAAATCGCGTACTCTGATATATTAAAAGTCGGGGTGTTACAGTGTTGGTCCAACGTTGGTAGAGGTAGGCAATCTTCGGATCTGTTCTATTTGTTTTAATCTCTTAGTTGTAATAAATCAGCTTTAGGATGCTTTCTTTTCGCACCTTTACCCGCTTTACAAAATCCCTACCGTTTCGGAAAAAATATATATATACATATATATAATTTTCTTAACAAATACTTGTAGAGTGCATGAGTATTGTACTAGTCATATAAATTTATCTATACTAGAGATCACCACGAACTAGTTCAGACCGGCCCAAAACCAACCCGTGGTCAACAAGCCTTGAACCGAGACCATGGTTTGACTAAGCCAATTCCAGGCACATATTTGTAATGTCTGAACCGCCAAGTCAATTTCCAAATGGAACAGGGAGTTCAGCCTTTTTTTCCTTCTGATTTTTTTTTTTTTTAATTTTTATTATTAATGAACTAGGCCGACCTGAAACCGGTGGTTCGTGAACCAGCCCAGAACGGCCGGTTCACCAAAACACGCCGTGTTCAAGGCCTGCAAAACCACAACCCAGACCTGTTCCTGAACCGTCATACGGCCACCTCCCACAACCCATATACATACATTATACAAAACTGTTCCAATAAATGGAACCTTGATAATAATCACACATATTTGAGTAAGAAGCCAAGGGACACATAATACATTGGCCAGTTTGAAAGCACGCTTTTCAAAAAGAGAAACCTACAGAAAAGCAGCATGGAATATTACATCATCAAACAGTAGTAAGATACTGTACATGACTGAGAACCTCTACAATTCATGATGCCGTCACAAAGCTGTTTGCATTCAAAATGGCAGCTGGAAATATGTCTGACCAATGGCACAATTCAGTTCTACAAAAACAATACTACCAATACATAGTTAATATGTGTGAGATTGGTGTGCAATGAACGCAATTAGATCAAAGCCTTTCACTTATTACTAAATGATCCATTACTCAATAATTGGATTTGACATGAATTTCATGAAGTCCAACAATTATAAATCACATGGACAAAGTAAAGCTATTATTACTGTGCAAAAATAAATAACCTTAAATCCAGATGGCACACGAGGGGGATTGATAACAAAAATGTTCATGGTGCTCAATAGCCATGAGATCAGAATTCAGACACAAGAAAAGTGACAAGTTAATGTAGATGGCTACCTCTAGAAACAACATTCCTTAAACAGTAATTTAAGGTTCAAATTCCAACACTGACAATCCTGATAACCAAGCATGTAAATATTAAATTAGGTATCCGATGTATAACCGACTAAATATATGCACAGCAAATCTCAAAAGCACATTTTCGTTTCTTACATTATATTGAGAACTTCATATAGAAACAACAGTCTCACCTTCAAAATGATGAGGAAAGGTTCTGTACCATTTGAGCAAATTCAAATCTACATAGGTCATGTCTTCTTTATTTAAATCATGCTTCAAACACCGTCTGAGACGAAATAGTTGACGCTAGAAGTGTACCGCGAAAACCTTCTTCTGCCTTTTGAAGATCCAAATTGTGATCCGAAAGCTCATCTGCAGAATTAGTAGAAAGCAAAGGTAAAAACAGGAGAAAACAGACTCCTGAAATGACAGAGACTATCTAGACAGCATAAAGCATGTGAAGAAATGCAACAGAACTTTATCTCGACACTGCAGCATATACCATTTTTTTTAATTCAAGAAAGAGGAGAAAAGAGGACACTTGAAAATATAACTGTACGGACCCAGAACAAAAGAGAATGAAATTGATTAAACACAAACCCCCATCCAGAATCATACACTCGCAATGGAACTCTTCAAAATATAACCATCCATAATGGGTTCCTTGTGTTTAAGTAAAAGTGGAACAATTAACTTGAACTCATTATTACAGAAAATAAGACTAAACAAAATGATTTCAACATTGAAACTTAATGCAATAAGATACAAAATGCAGACAAGCCAATTACAGTAGCCACCCTAAGTCATTGTTCATTTGCAAGTAACAATTTACGCAAATATTGATGCAGTACTTTTAAAATTCTTTATTGTCCTGAGCATTTAATTCCAAGGAACTGGTATCAGATCATAATGCTGACGACATGATCAAACATAAACAGTCAATCTAGAAACTGATTATTATGTAATATAGTCTTTCAGCCAACTATAACCAGGTCATTTTTGGATCACTTCAAGATAACCGTTCAAAGGAAACATTCAGTTAATAACCACCTTATAATTCCTTCAAGGAACCTCTAAAACGCATAATTATTTCACTATGAAGAACGGCTTATCATATTCCCCCTAGGAAGATAAGGTGAAAAAAGAACAGGAAAACAAGCTCAAGTAGCACATATACTTTTATATCACCACTACCAGGATGTTTAAATGCCTTACCAGCAATATCACGATTCTCATGAATCTTCGAATCCGCAACCCACAGAATGTCTCCTGGAAAAATATTCACATCAGCAAGACAATCTGTTTCCCCATCAATTATTTTTGGACCTTTGTGGAGTATCTGGTTTTCCTTAACAACCTACAAAAAAAAAAATATATATATATTTATAAAAAGAGCTGGTACATTCAGCAATCAGATTGTTAACAGAATTTTTACTTTAACCTACTGAAAATTTTGACAATTCAAACATAATTACTAAACTTGTTCCTTCTTTTTTCATGTAACAGAAAGCATAGTCAACGACAAGGCAAATCACTTATAGCCAAAGTTTAACCAACAGGGTTAGGACAGAAATCTTATCACTGAGAAATGATTTCAAAATATACAGAAAAGTTTGTTTTGGGAAACTTCTATAACATTCAAGATATGGGAACCGGAAGCCTTCAATGAGTTCCAATGTCGAGTCCTACAGACAATACTTCTACCCAAGAACAGCTAAATCGACTAAGCTCGGTTCTCATGTCTTCCTGGCACTTCTTCAAGGGGAAAAAAATCAGGTCTTCCTTCACTAACCACTCCCTTGTTTTCAAAGTTGCATCCTATTCCCCAGTCTTGATATCCTCAATTACTTGCCCAGGGTCATCGAGCCAAAAGTAGAACTTACAAACGGACATATTTTTATGTTACAGTAGAAGTGGTGCGCTGAATTAGTGATCTTCAATTGAAGTACCAGAATTTTCACATATGTTAACTTTCCCAAAGCTATGAAGCCACTAATTTCACTAACAAAAGGTGCAACAAATCCACATAATTCTTTTCAATATTTCATCCTGGTATTTTTTCCATCACAAGAGAGCTTCGACGCTAGAAATAGTTTTATGGTGTGGTTTTGGAGTCCTTGAAACATTTTTGAAGAGTTCCATTTCGTGACACTACACTTGTATTGTGGAAAGGGTTTTTACAGATTTCTGTGTTCAGGAACGGAGGAATTTATGACAAACTCAGCAATATATATAAGCCATATAAATAGATAAATAAATACACCCGTAGCTTACTATGAATTTAGAAAAATATCTTTGCAAGGCAAAAGTCAACTAGAGGAAAAATCAGATACAGCTTGGGATCCACCTAAACTTGTTGATTGATAAGATAAAATAATATTGCAAATGTATGGCTGAAACAAGATAATGGCGAAGATGAATATGAATCAATAAATGGATCGCTGATGGAGGAACTTGCCAAAGTACATTGGTAAGGTGTATTACACCAAAAATGAGACTATGCTTGAAAGATCGAAATGAGAGATCACATTTTGTTGGTTTAATTGTGGGCTTGAATCAGTTATGGTTATGGATATAAAGAGAGTTGGAACAATGCTTTCTTTTAATGAAAAGCCTTGTATAATCTTGTTTTAGCTAGCAACATGCCATAATCAATTAATGGTATAGCAACCACGTATTATCCCGATTGGCTAACCTTGTATCTGTACAGGTAACCCAGTCAAACCCTCTTTTAAAGTCTTAAGCTGATTCTAACTCGTTGCACATTACAGCCTAACATACCAAAGCTCCGTCAAAATGACATCATGAAGTAATTGGGGAAATCTAGCTTTAGGAAAACTAATCTTTATTGTAGATTCCTGAATCATATTTTTTTTTCTTTACAAAAAAGAGGATCAATAGTGTTCCCACTTCCCCTCCTCGGTGACTCGAACCCATGACCTATCAATAGTGTTCCTGAATAATTCTACCTAAAGATGCTTCACAAGGAAATCCAACCATAACTTCAGAAGCTTTGCCATGAACATGATGCGTCAATTACTTTGGCGGCATTACAGATCAGTCCCTTCACTAGTTACATTAAAACTCTAAACTTAATGGATTCAAATTTTGCTCTTCCAGAAGATGTCACACTAATTTCAATTCAGAACACAGTAGCTGCCAGAAAGAATAGTCAATGCAAACATCAAACTCTTAAAAATAAAAGTATCACAGTAAACAATAAGGCATTTAAGTAAACATCATACCCCAAAGGATTCCCATATCATCATCTTCAGCTGATAAATGGATGTCGACCCAGAAACATTCAAATTTACAAAGTTTCCATTTGTTGCTTTCCTTGATCGCTTGGAAGTTCGACGACTGGGATCCGCCATGCTCCTTGAAGCTTCTAAGATTGATTTGGGAGGTTCCTTTCCGCTAATTAAACATACAGAAATATCTTCATTGATATAATTCAGTTTCATCATTAGTTCAGAACTTTCCCTTTCACCAATGCAGGCTTCACAAACCTAAACAGAATTAAACGAACTTGATTATAGAGAGATATTAAACAACTATTGGAAACCCAATCTGGGTCGGCTAGCAGACTTAAGGGAGTTTCTACTTGAGAATTAGGGTAAATTTGGATATGCTTCCACTGAGAATTTTTTCTTTGAGCAGAGACAATGTTTGGAAAAAAAATTAAAAGAAAAACATTATTTGAAATGTGTGATTGGATGCAAAGATGGAATGTAATGATTAAACTTGATATGAAGTCAAAATAGTAAGATAAGCAGTAGTCAGAAATAGGCGAGTTAATGACTAAATTGATGGGTATATATACAGTAATTATATAAATTTTGTTCTAAGAATTGTATTGATAAACTAAGATACAAAATAGTAAGATGAGTGAATAGTGTACTTTTCCCCAAAAAAAAAATAAAAATAAATAATAATAATAATAATAATAATAATAATAATAATAATAATAATGTTTTTCTTGTACCGCAAAAATAAGAAATTTTTACGTCTCAATTATGGCTTCACAGAGGAACACTGTAATACTAATAGGACACATGATTGAATCTTGTGAAAATTATCTTTCATGTTACAAATAAATCTTTCGTATATAGTAGTCGGTGTTATCAAATGGCGGCCATCGCGGTATGGCGTGGCGGATTTTTGACAATCCTCCATGCAAATTTTGTAAAGACGGGGTCATGATGGCACCATAGGCCGCCATGACGCTATGGCGGAATTTGGGAAAACCGCCATGTACCTCCAACAACATTACTAATACTGATAGTAGTGCATATACAAAACTAATGCTGATGTGAATTCAACTCACCAACATAAGCTTTGCAGTTTGCAATGATAAATGTAGAAACATTATGTATATTATTATGAAGATTTGTTTCTTATGGGAGATCTGGATACATCTCCTTGATTCTCATTACTATTGTGATTTATTTATTCCTGATTCTGGATATTTGCTTTCCTTTCTAGTTAGAAAATCCAGGTGTCACATTAGTTCTCGTATATATTACTTACGATATATTTGTAGTCTTATCACCTAATACGAAGGATTTCATATTTTCACCCCAGCACACAATACAGAAAAAAATTAGATTGTACAAAACATAATCATATTTCTTACTTTGAATGTGTTTGTTAAAGAGAGTTTTGAGCTAGAACTTAAGGTTTGGACCTCAATTAGAGATTTGACCAGTTAGATCCTCTATTCAACATGTTTGGTAAAGAAAGTTTTAGATTAGTTTTTATTTTCTTTTTATTATTATTATTATTATTATTATTATTATTATTATTATTATTATTATTATTATTATTATTATTATTATTATTTTGTTCCGAAAAGCTAATTTTGCAAAATCTCCAAAGGTGAGCCTTTTGAGAATAGAGGATTTACTAATTTACGAAGTTTACTTCTAATTTACATAATTAATTTACAACAAATATATTCATTATCATAAGTAATATTTATCTATTACAAGAACATTTATAAATTAGCAACTTAAAAAATGCACCATCAAGTAATTTTAAGCCAACCATTGTCAAGTTAATAGTATTTTGTTATACATATTAAACTTATTGTATAGGCCATTGATCTCACCAAAGAAAAATGATTACTCGTAGAAAAAAAATCTTTTTTTTCTGACAATTTTTTTTATCTTGTTATTATTTAATTTACATAGTGTTAGTAAATGAGATGAGAGAGGGGGTAAATGCTAAGTTAGAACATGGAAAGATGCACTTGAAACAAAGGGTTTCAAAATAAGTAGGGCCAAAACGTAATACATGGAGTGTAATTTTAGTAATCAAAGGAGTAATAGTACAACAAAGGTTAAAATAGGGGAACACGAATTGAACACATATAAGAGTTTTATATATTTAAGATTCATTCTAGAAGATAATATCAACACAGATGAGGATGTAATACATATTCAGTCGGGTTGGAAAAAGTGGAAGAGCACGTCGTCGATACTTTGTGATCATAAAGTAGCATTGAGTTTGAAAGGCAAGTTCTATCGAACGGCTATTAAATGATGCTTTATGGATCCGAGTGTTGGGCAACTACATATAAAAATGATAAAAAAAATGCGAGTGGCAGAGATGAGAATGCCGAGATTGATGTGTAGGCATACTAGGTTAGATAAGATTAAAAATAAAGTTGGGGTACCGCCCATAGAGGGTAAACTGAGAGAATCAAGATTAAGATGGTTTGAGTATGTGCGTAGGAGAGACTTTAAGGCACCGGTTAGAAGGATAGAAATAGTAGAATTAAGAACACAAATTAAAAGGGGGAGGGGTAGGTTAGATAAGATTAAAAATAAAGTTGGGTACCGCCCATAGAGGGTAAACTGAGAGAATCAAGATTAAGATGGTTTGAGTATGTGCGTAGGAGAGACTTCAAGGCACCGGTTAGAAGGATAGAAATAGTAGAATTAAGAACACAAATTAAAAGGGGGAGGGGTAGACTGAAGAAAACTAAGAAAGAGACAATACAATATTATTTATAATATTGAAATTTGAATGAGGATAAGTGCTTTGATCGAGCACATGGCGACATGTGATCCATATAGCCGACCCCACTTGGTGGGATTTTAACAGCTTGTTGATTGATTGATATTTATTTTACAATAGAAATCTACTATTTGCTGTTAATTATTTACAAAAAAAAAAGTTTATACAATCATCCAGTAGAATCCTCTAGTCAAACTATTTTAATACAACGAGCTATCAGTTTTCCACTAATACAATCAAGCTATCAACTATCCGCCAACCGCTAATCGCCAAACAATTTCTAACAATTGAAAAGCATTGTGTTCAGATGCCAAGAAGGTGAATCAATACATACTATTTTGTTGCAGCTAGCTACTGATGCACACTATGATCAGTGTTATTAATGGTGGATGGCGGATCATGGCGGAAAGCCAAAAAACCACCATATATATATGGCGGATGGCGTGGCGGAAAATGGCGGAAGGCACGGCGGACTCAAAAATATAATATTATATATATATACCCTCTAATATATATACACACGTGTATAACACCATAATTAAGCTTAAATCATGTCAATGTATACATAAATTCTCAATTAATACATAAATATAACATTAGGTACATAAGAAAGAGCAGGAAATTAAAGCATAACAAATAAATAAAGAGTTTAATTGTTTAAATATAAATGACGGCTAGAAATAATTTTTAATAGAAGAAAGAGCTGAAAAAGTAAAACAAATAAGTAAAAAACTGAAAAGGTGAAGATTAGTAAAGTAAAAACTGATTTTTTGTACAAAAGTCGAGAAGTTGAAACAGAGGGGCAGAAAAGGTAGGGTTTAAACAAACAGGGAAAAAGAAAAAATAAAATAAAAAATCGAAAAGATAGATCGCCGGAAGAAGGGTCGCCGAAGGGAGGTTCGCCGGAGTGAGGGTTGTTGGAGGGTGGGTTGCTGGAGGATGGCTCTTCTCCTTTGCCTTTCTCCCGCAGCAATTAGGGTAGGGCTTTCTTATTTTTATTTTTCAGCAGATCCAAATGCAGATCAGGGCTAATTTTGGCAAAATTGGGCCGGCCCAATATATCAAACGGCACAATGCACCTTGGGTCGCTACGGAAACAGCCTCCTTGTATAATTACAAAAGTAAGGTCTGCGTACAACTGACCCCCCAGACCCCAACTTGTTGGGAATATACTGGGTATGTTTATGTTGTTGTTGTTGTTGTTTTTCTGGGCAGAAACCACAATTTCACGCCATCGCCGCCTCACCGCCATGGCCGCTATGCTCATGGCGGCCGCAATGGCGCCGCCATTGAAAACCCGCCACAAGGCGGCCATAACATAGCGGCCAGGCTAAAATCCGCCACACCATACCGCCATCACGCCGCCATGGCCGCTATTTAATAACACTGACTATGATTATACTAAGCAAGCTTACATGTGTACCATCAGGAAAAAAAATCAATTTAATTACCTCACCAAGCACAAGGAAGGAATATTTGACACTCAAAAGGTACCTGAGGATAAGTCTTCACAGTTGGCCTGCTAAACAGGCTTGTGTTAACTTCATCTGACATAGTTGCATTCTCCTCATTGATCGGCATCTCTTTGCAAGACCCAATGTTATTATCTGGCACACCACTATCAATGTCAATAATGGCAGAAATACATTTCGACTCTGTACCACCCCATTGTTCACAGAGCAATCTCCAATCGTCCTCGGTAATGAGAGTTAGTCCCTCTTCCTAAAAGAGAGAATTGAAAAAACAAGAAAGAAAATATATATCATAAGAATATTCAACCAGGCGATACTGAGGTATTACAGAATAGGCTTATCTGCGAATCATGTTCATCCATTATGATAGACATGGGAGATAGAATTGGAGGGTTAAGATTGAGTTGATGGCCAGGCGAGAAAGGAAGCTCAAAGAAATTGAGGAACTTACAGCAACTGACTTTTGGAAAATAAGTTCACGCTTCCAGATGAGTTCCGGTGGCCTCTCAAGTAGCTCAGAATGCTTGTATCCATGAAGTGATAGGAAACACATCAGTTTACAGCAAACAGATTGTATGTTTCTTAAGACAAAAATGAAAGAAAGAAAGAAAGAAAGAAAGAAAGAGAAACTATTCAAACTTCCACTTGCAGTGATCAACTCTCAGACCAAAAACATTATTTCGGATAACAATGAAAATTGGAAAGAGCTTAACCCCAAGGCACATCGTATCTGAGTTCTCAACAAAGCAACAGGCGGCAAGTACCGAAAAAAAACTTAATTAACAAAAGGCAGTTATTAAATTAAAATTGTAAACCTAAAATTGTAGCATAGGAAACATTAGGGAAATCTGAGAAAACCTGCTTGCATAAAAGCATATCGACAACAGTGTCTAGGGTATCCAGCTCTTCAGAAGATGAGTTTTTACCACTAGCATTAACATAGCTTCTCCATTTTGAAAGCCAAGATGCAGGCAATAAAAAGTATTTGGTATCCGGATAAAGAGCAAAATTTTTATTCATGGCCAACTTTTCATGGTTTTGCCTCTGCTTCAACTTGAAAACTCTGCAGCATAAGACTCCAAGTAAGCCACAGAGCATTATTAACTTCCCTAAGTAAAATACTTGTAAAATAAACCTTAAACTGTCTTCTGAGAAAGCAGCTTCTGTAAGTTCAACACTGCATGAAGCACATGGTTCAGAATTTGAAGGAAAAGCTGAACAGCCAATAAAGTCATCAGGTTTCACTGTCATAGCAGTTTGGTGTACAAAATCCCAAAGACGCTCAGGCACCAGTAAACGTTTAGCACCAGAAGCCAATTCAGGCATTAGTTCACCATGGGGACACCTAATTGAAGCTGTAGGTCCAGAATCAGCGTCGCAGGGCAAGTCAATATTTTTCCTGCGTAGCCACTGAAGCAGCCTACAGAAAACAAATCATGTCATAATGATAATACTACTTTCTGCTTAGATTCAACTGCCGCAAATTTGGCTACACCAGCATAAATCTACGAAAAATTCTTAGCTGCACATAAAAACAAAATGACAGGTCACTATCCATGACTTTTTCCATCTTCTCAATCAACTCACTGAACTTTAATTATGTGGCTGAATTACGTGAAATTGTCTTATAAACTTTTTTATATTGATAAATCGTTCATAAACAGAATCCAAGATTGCCAATCATAAAAATATACCCTTCGAAGAATAAAAGGCAGTTACAACCTCAACTAATAGTTCAGCATATTACAGCAAAATTTTTTGTTATTACCATGACTTAGATATATAGTATGAATTTCCATCCAAAGGTTCCCCAGCGAGTGCAGCCTCTGCAAGCTCTCTCATTGCTGACCTCTGATCCCTATAAATATTTGCACGCTGCATATTGTGACCCATCTCAAAAATGCAATCCATGCAATAGTCACCTTTGGTCAAAGTAGGACCTCCTTCATACTTGTCATAGCAATCACAAAACAGGTATTAGGAACAAATATTTGCTCAAATACACATAAGTAATGCAAGAAAGTACCAAAAACCCAGACAAAATAATATGATGGCATTATATTTCACTTGAGTAAGTTCAGCACATAAATGTGTAATTATAGATCATTGCCAGGAGTAGACAATTTGCTAAATGGCACAGGCTACAAAGTCCTAAATGTCAGCAATTAGTAAAAACTTGTAAAAGCATTGGCACTGCAAACAAAATATACTTGCAGCATCCGTCAGCACCTCATCTTGTTAAAACCTGAAAAAGAGCCAGTTTACCTGGTCTACATTCTGAAACCCGCCCCATTTACATATTCAATCACCAGAAATCTCCATATTAACTAAAGTCATGCATAAAAGAGTTTCAGATTTGATCTATATGTTTTCATTGCATAAAGACGGATTCTTATAAGAGTTACTCAAATCAAGTTAGAATTGGAAGTTCTTATACAAGACATTGAAAAAATTAAATAAACCTTCATTTGCTAATAAGATATAGCACAGCTAGTTAATAATAAATCTTGTATGTAACCATCCAATCCGAAGATACTTGCAAGATGTTTTAAACTACATAGCAAATATCTTGCTTTTTTATGAGGATGAATAAAAGTTCATAATACTTATATATTATCCTAATAAGCTACTAAATAGAATCAATCAATCATCAACATGCCGTTAAAATCCCACTAAGTGGGGTCGGCTATATGGATCACATGTCCCATCGTGCTCGATCAAAGCACATATCCTCATTCAAATTTAACTATTTTAAATCATTTTTTACTGTCTCTTTCCAAGTTTTCTTCAGTCTACCCCTTTCCCTTTTAATTTGCGTTCTTAATTCTAATCTTTCTAACCTGCTCACCGGTGCCTCGAAGTCTCTCCTACGCACATTTCCAAACCATCTTAATCGAGATTCTCTCATTTTCTCCTCTATGGGCACTACCCCAACTTTATTTATAATACTTTCATTTCTAATCTTACCTAACCTAGTATGCCAACACATCTATCTCAACATTATCTAAGCTGCTACTAAATACAGAAGCTCCAAATTCTTATTTGTTGACCTCAAACTCCTATATAGTTTTTCTTTTTGGTGTTTACAACCTTTGTATTCCAAAAAAGAGAAGAAAAAAAAATAAAAAACCTAACTGCACACTGTGATTCACATGTATTATTCAGACAAGCTTACATCCAATGCAGCAATCTTTCTACTTCCTTTTAGTACCTTTAGGTCCTCTCAACTAAACCAAATTATTAGATCATGCATCATATTGCAGAGGATAATTAATTCTTAAGAGAATTGAAATAAGAATAAACCTCTACTAACAAACATTAGCGCTAAAATGATCACACCACAAATAATTACCCTTATGAGGACTCTTTCATAATGATAAATACTAATGACAATAAACTTCAAATGAACAAATGGAAATTACCCCAAAACTACCCTTTAAGGGAATATTTCAGAAAGATAGATTCTCATGACATTCAAAATTCAATACCAGAAAAATACTCCCATGAAAATTTCCAGAAATATAAGATTACATGATATAAAGAAATGGGGAAACAACATAAATAAACAGATTACTCAAACCTGCAAAATTGAAAGAATAGGAAAAAATCAATCATATGACTTTAAATATTTAGGGAATCAGAAGAGTCAGGGAGGGAACATATTCCAGGTAAAATAAAGCAATGGTTATTAGATTGGAAAATCATGGCAGAAATTTTGAATCAAGAAAAGCAACGGGTATATTACATTTAATCACATACTAGCTTAATAAAAAGCATCACTCAATACCTTAGTATATAATTCTTTCCAAGCCTCAGCTGACAAACGCTTCATGTTGTTGATGCTTGAAACTGGCACCTTGGCATGCACGCACTGTATTGATGTGTTATCAATAGACCTGCACAAGTAACTTGTTTATCCACTTCAGATCACAGAAAAGGGGACTCCAAGAAGTCCTAGGAGAATATTTTTAGCCTGTGTATGGATTCTAAAAACAAAAAGTTCAAACATGTAAGAATTTTCATCCTTTGAAACCATACTATTTCTCTAATGAAATTAGATTGTTATTGTAACTTTCAGCTCTCGACCTCACAAAATTTTGGTGTAAAGTAATATTACATTAACCTAAACAGTTATTAGTAAACCAGTATCCATATGTGGAAGTTTGTGTCAGAATGGAAACAGATGCAAACTGGAATAATTTGATGGGTAAAATGAAGATTTAAGAACATATAAGAGCATCTACAAATCAATGAATATGAGACAACTAAATTTTCTCACACTCCTAAGTAGAGAAAAAAATTTTCACTTACGATGGGATGATGCTGTCTGCCCATTGACGCAGCCACTCAGTAGAAACCCAGAAGTAAGGTTTCTCAAGAGATAATACTGGGGCTGCAGAAAGGATTGACCTCACCTCTAGTCGCCGCTTCAGAAGTTGACCTAGCTCAAAGTCCTTCCTTAACTTGTATTTTTCACAAGAATTCAGATATTCTAAATTTAAATCATCTACATCATTCAGAAGATGGGATGGAGGCGGGCTATCAATCTCTTGAGAAACTACAGAACCACCAATTTCCATTTTCTGCTCATTAGAAAGCGTAGCTGTTTTCTCAACATCCATCTTTGAATTCCTAAGAACATACATTAGCATATAGGCATCACTGGATGAAAATGTTTTCTCGTGATCAGCACCATTTGAATCTGAAGATTGCATCTGAGTAGAATCAACATGATATCCATTCACAACATCTGCCGTCCTTGTAGATGGCGATGGATCAACTACCTCACTTTGACCAGCTTTATTCTGCCCAGCTTTAGTTGCAGGAGTTGACACGTCGGATCCAAATGGATGTAGACCCAAGTTTGTGACACGTTCATCGTCAAATTCCCACCACTCACCAGTGTTCTTATCCCTTATATGGGCAGTATAGTGGCCACTATTGGCAGCAGGGCCCTTGTGTATTAACACAGCAGCCAAATCATATATCATATCTAATTGAGAACCTTCGGATAACCTACACCCCATGTTTAGTTCTCCAGGAAAACAAAATGCTGAAGTGATTTTTTTTCTTGTGGTTCTCTGCAAATAGAACCAAGGAAACCATAACTTAGTTTAATCAAAGCAACACGCACGCATATGTAGTTCCATCAAGTAAACAATCAAATAGTTGAATGGTCCTACTACCCAAGTACCATACAGAAAATCACGATATCTAAACACTGTGGTAAAAGAAGTATCTGCAACAGAGTCAACGGATTTTAAAATGAATTGAAGAGATTGAAGCAAAAAATCAGAGGCCTTAAAGCTTTACCTAATTCAGGACCATGACTTTGGTAAGAGAGTGCAAACCTAAAAGACTAGAATGAGCTTGCATGAAATGAATGGTTGGATCTAGAGAAATTTCAAATACAACAAGAGAATCAAGAAGTATCAAATAAAAAGAAAAAAGAGTTGAATGTTTAGGTATGAGATACTACTGTGCAAGCAAGCAAACGACTGATTTAACTATCCAGCAAAAAGGGTATATATCCAGCAAAAGAGCAAAAGCCACACATATACAGCAAATGCTAACAGTTAAATATTAGAAAAATGGATGTCTTGTGAAAGGGCATATGCCCAACAAAAATTAACAGCAGGTTTGTGAAAATAGAGTATTTACATTTGGAAGGAAAACACATCTCTTGAGCTGAAAATTCAGAACAGAAGGTAGTGAGCGCAACTTGATGCTACGAGTGGCATCGGCTCGTGTAGCACATACGTCACAGTAATACTGATTGTCCCCCTGAAGCTCCTCTATGCTAAGGTACTCATCCAAACTCTCCTCTAGACTCTTCAAACCTTTAACATTTAACTCTAGTTCATAGAAGTCTTCAATTTTTGATGATGCTTCTGACTCATTTCCACATTTCGAGCACCTGGTTCAGAGGGAAATACGTTCATGAACCTTGTACTTCACAAAATTTGTGACTAAAGGTAAAGTAAAATAGATAGACATTATTAAGGTTATGCTTGATAACCTATATAAAGAAAATAAAGACGGATAAGTAGGTGGAAAAAAAAAAGTCAACAATCCTCATCAAATTTATAGGTAACAAAATCAAAATAATAATATTGCCACATACTCAAAATATGTAGTGAGGGTCAGCAAAAGCAGTGAAGTAATAAAACTGGACGTTATTGGAATTAAAGGAACATCACTAGCCAACAAAAACAAAGATTTTCATTTTAAGGTATTGTGGACTATATAAATAATAACTAGCATGTTCCAATCCTCAAAACCACAACAGTTTGGCCAAAAACAACTTAGTTTAAAACTTTTGTAGAGTGTAGAGTTTCACCAGAGATTCAAAGACCCCAATGAATTTATCCTCTATGGCAAACTTTTCTTTCCTCTCTAACCAATAACTAACTGGTATGTGCCACAAAAAAAATATTCAGAACCTTCATATAAGGTCAACCTGGGACATTTCTGTTTGCTGTTAATCTTCTGCTATCAATGCAAGAAACAAATCACAATACAAACTAAACATTTGGATCATAGCATGCAAGGTCAGGAAGAAATATCTCGGAATTAATATGTGTAGCACTACATTCTTACCTAGTAACATGCGAAACACCCCCACGGAAAAGGTCTTGTACAATTGTTCTTGCCTTGGGAACTTTCGACTGGCCCAAGCACCGCTCAAGCAAAGAAAACAGCAAGGTGAGAAACTCATGACTGTCCTGTTGCACACCATTATCTAGCTCCAAGGACTTAATGAAAGGTGCTGAATCCACAAAGGCCATCTTACTAGAATGAAGCAGCGCAAAAAGTCTAACGAGGTTATTCAGGACGGGCTCCCTAACTAAAACTTCAGGCTCAACAGAAAAAACACCTTCTCTGAATGGTTTATTCATGTAGAGGCATTGCAGTATGCTATTCGCATAGCAAGTCGCACCAAGATTAGTGAGTCCTGCTGGTGTATCGGAGGATGCTCGTAGTTCATGTGAAGGGTCGGGGCCAAGGGAATTTATAATTTCTGATTGCTTCTGCCACAAACCAGATTTCCGACTCCCATTGGGAGGTGGGATCAGCCCACAGAAGCAGTTGGGATTGTCCTTGGTGTTTACTCGACATCCTTGGCAAACGGGCTTAGTGATCATGTACAGCTGATTTACATCGTCTTCTGTCACCTTTTGATTTAAAATAATCTTCCTGCATTCCAAATACAAGTGCTTGAAGAATATAATATTTCCACTGATCAAATTTTAGTGATTTCTTAAGTTAGCCGCCTTAAAAGTGAACTCATGGTTCACACACCAAGAAAGTTCATCCTTACTGAGCATTTCTTTTTTTTTTTCTCCAACATTGATTCAGCACCTTAACTACCAAACATAAAGTAACAGCAGCTCCCAGTAATAAGCATAACGATTCTGGGGAACAATCGAGTAAAGACGAAAGGTGGAATTGAAACCTCAAATAATCCGTATACCAACTAAGCACTGACAAAAAGTTCCCATCGATGATCTTTCTTAAAAAATGCTACCACTATCAACATAAATACATAGCCGATAAATTTTATAACATAAATAATAAAAGCACAAAATTATCCCTATACAAGATCAAACTATGAAATCAAAAACCGGAAAAGGAAATAGATACCTAAAAGTCTCAGAGGTAGTCTCGGCATTCTCGTCGTTCCTGTTCCTCTTGTTCTTACTTCTCGTTGTTGGTCGATGATTCCCCATTTTTTTAACCTCAAATGATAAATTAAAAAAAAAAAAACCAAAAATCAACCTTTAATACGATACAACTCCACGAATTCAGCCGATCAGACGCGAAGGCTCGTCGATCCACGCAGCGAGACGGAAGAATTCGTAGCGATCTACATAGAGAGAGGTTTAGGAGTTACAGTAGTACTATGCCTTTAGGGCTCTCAATTGAGTAACAACATTTTAGTAATCTAATTTTGTGCCCAGGTTTTCCATTTCCTTTATTTTTTTATATGAAAGGTAAAAGAAAAACAATTAAGGTTGCGCGGGGTGACTTTCGATTTTCCCTCGCTGACCGGAGGAGGAAAAAAAAGAGGAGGGAGAAATTTTTATCAGGTGTCGCCAGCGTAGCTGTCCATATCTTCGTGTCATTCGATCGGCAGCTTAATGACTTTTTTTTTTTTTCCAAAACGATAGATATTTTTATTAAACAAAAAAACCAAGGTCCGAATATAATAAAATTTATAACTAACCGAATAAAGAGAAAATCACTCGTAGGTGGTCTAGATGACTATATCATCAATAACTGATGTAGAACGTGGTACAAGTATAGGAAGAAAGTGAGATACTCTCTCACGAACGAACGAAATTGAGATACTCTCTCAAACAGATAAATTTTTCAATCGTCAAAATACACCTTTCATTCACTGTTTCCTATCTTAAATAAAAAAAGAGTCCTCACCTTGCTAAACATATTGCAAGGCAATTTTATTTATTTCCTAAAAATAATAAGAAAAGTAGAATAATAAAAGAAAGGAATAGAAATGCGTACTAAAAATCACGAACTAGATTTTGAGCCGGTCAAACTTGTCGAGAAAGGCTAAGGCGGTCTCATCTCCATCATCCTCCCCCGGTTGGGAAGGATTCGGCCGCGAATCCGAACCGGTCTCATCTCCATCGGAATTGTCCCCCGAGAAAGGCACTAAATGCTTGACGTTAAAAACGTCAGAAGTCCGAATGTGGGATGGAAGGCGCAAACGATATGCATTGGGGTTGATCTTCTCAACCACCTCAAGGGGACCAATCTTCCGGGCTGACAACTTGCTATACTCATGCGCTGTGAACCTATCCTTCGTAAGAACGGCCCAAACAAAGTCGTCGACCTCAAACTCCACATGGCGCCTCTTCGCATCTGCCTTTTTCTTATATGCCGCCGTAGTCGCCTCAAGGCGAGCCCGCGTCTTCTCGTGAATAGCCCGCAAATCGCCAATCATATCGACCGCCCGATGATCAATCGGGGAATGAGACGGTAAAACAACCAGATCAGAAGGACCGAATGGTCGAATCCCATAAACCGTCTCAAAAGGGGAGAGCCCAGTGGCACGGCTAAGCGCGGAGTTGTGGGCGAACTCAGCCTGGCTCAACCTCTGATCCCAACTTCGAAGGTTATCGCCCACCAAACAACGCAGCAAGTTACCCAAGGACCGATTCACCACCTCCGTTTGACCATCTGTCTGAGGGTGGTACGCACTGCTGAAGTCCAGCCGAGTATTTGCCATACGCCAAAGACTGTGCCAAAAATGGCTCAGAAAACGAGAGTCCCTATCAGAAACAATGGACGAGGGTAGCCCATGCAAACGATAAATCTCTCGGAAGAATAATTGTGCCACGTGAACAGCATCAGTGGTCCGTTTGCACGGAATAAAGTGGACCATCTTCGAGAAGCGATCCACGACCACAAAAATCGAGTCGAAACCCCTCTGAGTGCGCGGTAACCCAAGCACAAAATCCATACTAATCGCACTCCATGGCTGAGACGGAATCGGAAGCGGTCTGTACAGACCAGCATTCGAAGAAACTCCCTTGGACACATGACAAACGCGACACCTCGCCACAAACCGAGATACATCACGTCGAAGAGAAGGCCAGAAGTAAGAGCGGCTGACAAGCTCAATTGACCTGTCACGCCCGACATGGCCCCCACCATGAATCTCCGCAATGAGCTTATGACGGAGACTACAGTCCGGAATGCAAAGGTGAACACCCCGGAAAAAAAACCCATCAGTCAAAGAATAATCCTCATAAGGCCCAAGGCCTAAACGACGGACAATGGGGCCGAAAAACATATCACCCGTATAGGCCTCACGCAAAATATCAAATCCCACCACCGAAACCCGCATATCGGATAGCAACAGGGCCCGTCGACTCAAGGCGTCAGCCACCCTATTCGAAGCTCCCGAACGATGCCGGAGAACAAATGTGAACTGCTGCAGAAAAGCAATCCATGAAGCATGTCGCAAAGAAATATTATCCTGAGAGGATAAATGTCATAAAGCCTCGTGATTCGTGTAGAGGATAAATTCCCGATGAAAATGATAATGTCGCCAATGACGTACAGCCCGAACGATAGCATAAAACTCAACATCATACGTGTTGTATCGAGAGCGAGGTCCAGAAAGCTTCTCACTGAAGAAAGAGACTGGCCGACCCTCCTGACTGAGGACGGCACCAATGCCTACCTTCGACGCGTCACAAGACAATTCAAACGGCCTCGTAAAATCAGGGAGCACGAGTACAGGAGCCGAGGTCAACTTATGCTTAATCAATGTAAAAGCCTCCTCAGTCGCCGAAGTCCAAACAAAAGACGACCCATGAAGGCAATCAGTAACCGAGGTCGTAATAGTGCTGAAGTAAGAAATAAAGCGACGGTAAAAAGATGCGAGACCGTGAAAACTACGGGCCTCGGTAAAGGAAGTCGGAGTCGGCCAATTCCGAATAGCAGCGACCTTGCTAGCGTCAACACGAATACCTGCCGCCGAAATGACAAGTCCCAAAAACAACACAGAACTAGCCAAGAAGATGCATTTACGAGGTGTAGCAAAAAAAGACTCAGTACGTAACACAACTAATACCTCGCGAACATGCTGTAGGTGCTCCTCCAAGGACCGGCTGTAAATAAGAATATTGTCGAAATAAACGACGACACTCCTCCCGATAAAATCTCGTAGCGTCTGATTCATCACCCTCATAAATGCACTAGGAGCGTTGGACAAGCCGAATGGCATCACCATCCACTCAAAGAGTCCCTCCCTGATCTTAAATGTCGTCTTCCATTCGTCTCCTGGTCGAATACGAATCTGATGATATCCACTACGTAAATCCAATTTGGTGAAAATAGAGGCACCATGAAGCTGATCCAACAAATCATCCAATCGAGGAATAGGAAAACGATAACGCACCGTGATTTTGTTAATTGCTCTACTATCAACACACATTCGCCACGAATCGTCCTTCTTAGGGATCAAAAGGGCTGGAATGGCGCAAGGACTCAAACTGCGGCGAATGGTCCCACGCTGAAGAAGCTCCTCAACTTGCCGACGTAACTCCTCATGCTCAGCCGGGCTCATCCTATAGTGAGGACGATTAGGAAGAGAAGCCCCGGGAATGAGATCAATATGGTGTTGAATGTCCCGAAGTGGTGGCAAGCCCGAAGGAAGCTCCTCCGGGAAGACATCGGCAAACTCAGTCAACAAAGGTCGAATAGCCGACGGGAAGTCCTGCTCAGAACTCGTATCGGTCCCAATCAATAATAATACCAAAGGAGAATCCCGAAGCGCCGCCACAAAAGCTGAGTGAGAAAGAAAAAGGACCGAAGACGTAGTACCCATCAGCGACAAAGCACGTGGAGGAGAAGGAAGTAAAATAATCTTGACTCCACCAAAAAGAAAAGAGTATGTATTCTGTCGACCGTCATGAGTAGCTGCTCGGTCATACTGCCATGGCCGCCCCAATAATAAATGGCAAGCATCCATCGGAACCACATCACACCAGACTTGATCACGGTAAGTCGGGCCAATGGAAAAAGATACTAATGCACGACGGTCCACAGTCATCGCTCGGTCCCGTTGAATCCATGCCAACGTATATGGTTGAGGATGAGGCTCACATGAAAGTTGTAATTTATCGACAGCTTCCTGAGAAATCACATTTTCACAAGCACCAGAATCAATAATAAAACGACAAATTTTGTTACCCATGGTACAAGTCGACTCAAAGAGGTGGTGTCGCTCAATGTTTAAGTCGGTTGAACCCCTTGGTGTGAGACACATGTGGCGAAGGACGAGTGTTGTCCCCACAACATCTCCACGAAAATATTGCTCCATCTCGCTCGCCTCCGTGTCATAAACTGGCTGCCCCTCGTACCCGTCACTCGTCTCCACCTCACCCACTTCTTCAGTAAATAACGCCTTTGGAGATGTGCCCTTCGTACACGCCGAATGGCGGTGGCCAACCTCCCCACACGCAAAACAACGCAGGCCCGCGATAGCCCGTGGAATGCCCGCCAACTGCTGCTGCCCCGCAGACGGGCCGCCCTGCTGGAATTGCCTGCCGGACGTCGGAAAGCGGGCTGCTGCAGCTCTCTGTCCACCAGTGCCGAGAGAAGTTTGTGGGGAACGAGCCTGCTGTACGCTCCCTGTAAGTTGCTGGGCCTGGCGTGAGGGAGGAAAAAATGAAGGGCCCGACTTCTGCCCCAATTGAGACTCCACGAGGACCGCTTGTTGGTGCGCATCGGACACCGTTTTCGGCTGAAATAAATTTAGCGTGTCACGAATGGCTGGCCGCAACCCGCTAACATAGCGGGACACCAACTGGTTCTTCGTTTCACGCAATTCAACTCGAGTTAACAAACGATAAAATTCGTTCGTATAATCATCCACTGAGCGAACTCCTTGTCGGAGATTATGGAGGTGTTGATAAGCGAGATTATCATAGTTACAAGGGACAAACTCACGTTCTAACAACTCGCGGAATTTGACCCAAGACGTCAACTTCGGTTTCCCTTGACGATGCCGCACACTCGTTAATTGCATCCACCAAGTTGCCGCCCTACCCCGAAATCGCGTGGCGACCAAGTCAACTCGTCTCTCTTCCGGAACTTCCTTGAATGTGAGAGCTTCTTCCACCGCCGCCCACCAATCAAAAAAAATCCAACCCATCGACTCCACCCGTGAACTCCGGAATGTCCACACGAAACC